TAATCTATTTATTTTTTTTTTTTTAAACATTAATGTTCTATTTATAAAGAGAAAAAATGCATTGGAAAGTCAATTTAGGGGGCAAATATTGTCCTTTTAATGGAAAAGGTGCAGTCTAAGTGGAAGAGGGGGTATGCAGAAATGCCTCAGGGGGTACTCCACTCTAAACAGTCTGGGAACCACTGATGTAGAACATTGTCCTGTGCAACAAGTGATTTATTTTATATTTTACTAGGCTGTTTAGGGTGGTTTCTAGGATGTTTCCATTTTGTTGTTGTTGTTAAAGTGTTGTGAGTGCTTGTCTGCGTATTGCCATGCGGTTGCTATGGTTGCCAGGACATTACTAAGGTGTTGTGAGAGGTTGTTTGCATGTTGCTATGCAGTCACTGAGTGTTCTGAGAGATTTCTAGGGGATTGCTGTGTGATTGTTAGCATGTTGCTAAAACACTAGGGTGTTTTGAGTGGTTGCTAGAGAGTGCTAAACTGTTCTTAGTGGTATTTAACATGTTGCTATGCAGTCTCTAGGGTGGTTGCTGTGCCTACTGGACCAAGGCAAAAATATTAGTTTATTTAGTGTAAATATATTAGTACAGAACATTATAGAAATATAGTTAACTTCTCCTCAACAAGCCATACGATGTGAAGTATCGTAATGTCTGTAGGCCTACTGACAGTGTTACAGAACAAAATGTTAAACTTGGGGTTAATGGTTTATTTAAATCCATAATCCTCAAGATGAGCAGTAGTAATAGCAATGCTTAGTAGACAACACTAATAAGAAAGTCCATGTATGTTTTTAAAGCATGTGCAGTGTTGTAGGTGTGTTGGGGTGTAACGGGTGTTATGCCCTGCAGAATTATCTTTTGTTTTATAGGTGGGGACTGAGTCATTGAGACCGCCTTGCTCTCACTATTATAGACATTTCACAGCAGGAATTGAAAGTAGGTGAGGTAACCACGCGGTGAAGAACAAGGCAGTCAGATTTGTATTCACGGAAAGACTCTCAGTCTCCAGGGATCTGCATGGCATGTTATATGCTGGAGGAAAATCTGATTGGGTGAGATCTGGAGAAGGGACACAATGATTACAGGTCAGGACATTTGTGGGGTCATAGGGTCTTGACCCTGCTGTTGGTTTACATATGAGAGGGTTATAAAATATAAAGCTAGGCTAGCAGCATCTATTTAAGCCATGATAAAATATACATGGTGTGTCTTGTCTTTGTTTTTTGTTAACTTCTATTAAATTAATTTTATTTAAAAATGTGTAAAAATCAGACATTACTGTACAATAGTCGTACAGTACGTACAATAGTTAGCCATTCCATTTAATGCAGAAATTACATACTTCACCTTTAATTTATTTTTGTATTTGTATGTCAACCTTTTATCAACTCCAATGGCCTGATATACAGAGTTTTGGAAAAAATACCATGCTACCTTTTTGGACATGTACCATGGTAGTGGCATGGTATTCCTGGAAGTACCTTGTGAATACAGTGGTACATGGATTTCAGTACCATAGAACTAGTATGGTACTTTTCACAGTGGCATTCACTGTCTGTATAGGAGTTTTAAAACAGCAGATAGTGCTGTGGGATCTCAGCTGGCATTTGGAACTGAATAAGTGTAGGATTCAGGACTGCTATGTCAAAATGCTGACTCATGCTGTATCATTTGCTGACATTTATTCAAGTATGGATCATAAGCATTTCGTTGTGTTGTGGCATCATTAAACATGCCAGGTATAGATGTGGTTGTTTGTCACTGTGGAGTAAATTTGTGTTACTTACAGATATAGCTAGCAATACTCCAATAAGTGCAGATTAAGGTCTGTGCCATGGTTTATTTTAAGGCTTGGGGAGCAAATGGTTTTGTATTTAATTATGTTTGCTGCAGGTATACTGCAGGGGGCTTTCAGTCCATATAAGCTTTGAATGGGAACGTAATACCCAAGCCATTTGAGGGAACGAGTTTGGGGACTGGCAAAATATTAACAATACTATAAATTCCCTTGTAACATAACTGTACCATATCTGTACATTAACTGTCTGTAAATTACCAAACAAATTTTGTGCTAATCTTTGCCAGATACAGAGGGATTCGGTTGAGTGGCTCCACAACAGCTTTGGCGCCTGATTTCATGCACAATAAAAACTGCAAATTGCCAATCCAGTCAGAAAAATGTCTACCGAATACCGATTTATTTTCCCCATACTTGTCAAATCTTGCATTTGTGATGTGTATCATATGCAGGGGCGTAATTTCCACTGGGGACGGGGGGGCATGTCCCCCCCACTTTTCAAAATCACGTTCGTGTCCCCCCCACTTTCAAATTCGTTTGTTTATGATTTTTTTTAACCGCACGCCGTCATCGCCAAAGAGGAGCAGGACAGAGCAGGGCACAGATGCGCGTCCGAGTCCAGGAACGTCGCTTGCAGACACTAAAAATAGCTCACTGAAAGTTCTAATGAGCAGGTATCGCTGTTGCGGCACAGTCGATGAAGCGCCAGAAGCAGCAGATGACTTTAATGTCATCATGGATAGAAGGAAAGAAAGGAGATGTGAGTTGGTTGATTCAGTAAATTAGCTCAGGTCAGGATAATCATATTTTCTGTCTACACCTGTTAATGTTAGCCTACGTTGACTGAGCTAAAATTAACATACACTGTTGCTAGGTAACAGACAGTTACACCCTTGATCATATGTGTATGTAAGCATCTGTATGTCTCTTGGGAAGGCACTACCACCTAAAGGCTACAGTATTTTGTATTTGAAATGCTTAAAATACTTAAGTAGGTAATTTTATTCTCAGATAATGGAGTAACTTTCTTCACCTGTGATATCAACTATAGCCTATCACAGTTTTTGGCTAGATGCAAGTGAATCATATGACATCCTTTTGGATCCATTGGCGGAGTCTTATATAGGGTTAGTTCACCCAAAGATGAAAATTCTGTTTTTAATTAAATAAAAAAATAACCCATCTGAATTAGGACATTTAGGCTATCCATCTAATAGTAGCCTACCAAAATCTTATTAACAGTCGAAGTTAAATCTTACTGTAGTCTTCAAATCTGGGTACTGTCTTACGTTTTAAAATCACAAAGGGAGTTTGGTCCCATCAGGCTAACGTGACAGTCACGACTCATGCAGCTGTAAGGTTTGTTTTTACTCGCGATCTTTACAACACGCATTACATTACGTATTTCATGGCACACTCGTTTTATGCGTATTTGGCGCCACCTAGTGTTGTGGGTGTATTATTGACATGTCAAAGTCTAGACCCTGAATATAAGACGACCGCGTTTTTTCAGATGTATTTCCAAGAAAAAAAACATCGTCTTATATTCGGGACAATACGGTACTATCAGATATTGCTCACTGAATGTTTTAACAGGACAGAAGAAAAGAGCAATTTGTAAATAGCTGTGCTGCTCTTGAACTTCTGAATTTGCTTGCTAGCTTAAGTTAGCTACTTATTTCTATGGACAAAATGACATTTTTTAAAGGGGCTTTATGAAAGCATTTTCAAGTATTAATCGCCTTTTTATTGACAATGTGTGAACAGCATGTAACGAAACATTAAACTAGATGAAACCTGTTGACTGATTTTTATGTGAAGGACTCAGGGTGGTTTTGCCCGGAAACGATCATTATTTTTAATGATCCTCATCTGTTGACAGGATGTCGGTGAATGACGTTCACTCACTGTTTTGGCCATCACTCGCTCGCATGAGTATGGAGTGTGCGCGTGAGCACAAGCAGTAAGTTGCTGGCTGCAGTTCACTTAATGGCCACTGGTGTCGCTAATAACAATAGTTTCTCAATTCTACATATTCTATTTAACAGCTAAATATCGGCATTTTTAGAAGCTAATCTTCATTGTTGACAGTGAAATCCCTTGAGCCATCCTCTTGAATAGGACTAGGCAGTATGACTATGTATTGTTCCACAGGACTGCTTCATTTGACACGTTGACGCGATAAAGAAACATAAATGAAAAAATAAAGGGTAGATATGCTTGATGGTATTCGCATAATCAGTCGGTTGTGTCTTAAGTAAACATTAGAAATTAGAAGAATTATGTATCGATATATTGGATCCATGTATGCATCTTAAAGTGACAGTAGCCTAACATACCTGCTGCTGGCTATATCCTTAATTGTAATCTGACAATAAGACAAAGAGAAAATAACTCCCTGCTCTTGACTGAATTGCTTATTTTTACTAATAAATATCAAATAAAAAAATAACTATATTGTGATATACATCGTTATATGAAATAAAATTTTTGGTCATACTGCCCACCTCTTGAGGATAAAGATAGCATTTTTCTGTCTGTAGAAGATAAATTTTGTGTCTTCTTAAATTAAAAGTTTTACAATATGAAAAATAAATTAATATGCTGAAGTAAATGGACTCCATCCTGGCTAATGCGCAATAATATTTTAGTGTCTAGTGTTGGGGTTAAAGAAAATGTTGTTTAAGTTGTTCAAGGAGAGGAAAGCACTTCTCTTTCTCTTATGTGTATCTAACTCCACTATTGCTAAATGTGTTTTCTTACTCTACTGTAATTTCATTGTCTCTTGCACTTTAAATGATTGCTTGCAAATATTGTAGGTATTTTATTTATTTAAAAAATTATAAATTACTTGTGTTTTAATTAAATGCATTTCTCACACCAGTATTTTGTATTTTAATTAAATACATTTGATGAGCAAGTATTTGTAATTTGTAACAAAATACTTTTTTGATGTCTTTGTGCCCATATCTGTTCCTATAGCAACAGTAAATTGACACCTGCCACGGTGTTTCTTATTTGTCATCTCTGATTAATTAAATAATTAGATGGCAAAGTAGTATAGAAAGATATCCTATTTAAAGTGGTATTTTGTCCGTTTTATTTTGTAAAAAGTGAGCAGCGGTTTGTTGTTGTTAATGAGAATTTTATCCATAAACAGGCATGCACGGAGTTCTGCAGATTTCGTCAGATTCATTCATTCATGTTGATTTATTGCTAAATAGCTCATTATTACTAAATAACTAAATTGACAATGCTTTGAGCACATTTTACCATTTTTAAATCCATTCCTCTGCATAATTGTCCCTTACACACATGTGAGCCTGCAGATTCTGTGTATGTTTTGCAGAGCGAGAGTGTTGCCGTGAAGGAGAGGGAGTTGTCCCTGCTGTTAGCCAGGATCAGGGATGAAGTGGGTAAGTCTGCTCTGGCTCGGAGGTAAAAAAAAAAAAAAACGACGTCAGTCATCTCATCTCAAATGTTAGGATGTCAACCATAAAATAAAAAGCGACTATATAGACCTTCTCTGATTACACATTTGTAAACTGCATTTTTCTCTTTCCATTCCCCTGGATTAAATTTGGCTTGTGACTTCTTACACCATTTGTGTTACAGACGTAATGCAACACTTTTTACCTAAAATACATAGTGTCATATTCTACAAATGGTTCACTATGTCCCATGATTTTCAAATATGCATCAAATATCTCATGTAAAAATCATAATTTTGATTGTTTAATTGATTACAGTAAAAAAAAAAACGTGTATATATTTTTTCAGTAATTTTAATTACCAAAAACATTGTATTTATCTGTGTTGTTTTGCAGCAGCATGATATACCTTTCTATTTTCTGTGCCATTCCTTAAAATTGTGACACCCAAGAAACATGATTTGGACTTTCTTCAGCATGCCAGTGAACAACTGAATAGTCACTTTCCATGTTCTCAGTTTTACAGATATTAATGTGTCGACTACATTTGTCAAGCTCAACCATCAATCCTCTTAAGTTATTGCAAGAATGATCAAAAAAAATATTTACTTTAATTAATGGGAAATTTTAGTTTATCAAACCAGCATTTGGTGTCATAATTGCCAGCCTAAGTGACAGCTTTATATATGCTGAATCTGCAACAATGTTACTTTCAACCTTTGTACCTATTGTGGTGGTTTTTAAAAAAAAAATTTTTTATTGTTTGTTTTGGTTTTTTGATTTGTAACATTTTGATTTATTTATTTATTTTTGCTATAAAATGAAAATAAAAATCACACAAATCAGAGTTTAAAATTTTTAAGATTAAAATTTTAGACATGCAAATTTACAAACCCCATATTTAATGAATAGAAAATAAAACGGCTCATGTATTATTTAATGTTTACCAGAATAAGTACCAAGGTTAAAAGTACCAGGGTTGCAAATTTATCCGCAACAACATTTTTTGAAGGTTAAACTTGTCCTTTCACTGACTATAACAAATTATTTGTCTCTCTAGTGGTCAGTGTTCAGCGGTGGGAGCGTCTGCAGGGTGAGAAGGCCCAACTGGAGCAGAGTTTTGAGCGGGAGCTGAAAGGACTACAAGAGGAGCAACAGCAGGAGCTCAAGGCCCTGCAGGAGAGACTGGTAGAGGAGGTCACCTCCGAGATACAGCGACTCCGGCAACAGCAGAACAGCCACCTAGTGCAGCTGCGTTCCCAGCACCAGGAACAGGTGAGATGAGGAAGTAACGGGGTGTAGAGGCCAAGATTATCATTGACACACCTTGAAGAGTCATTTATTTTAGCACTGTACACAAAGGACTTCAAGGTAATGAAGGCTTATGAGGGTTAAGAAAGCCCAGAAGGTGGTTACATGTCTTTGTAGTCTGATGATGCACTAATCATCTTCCCTTAAGCCCAAAATATACTTCAGTTTTGACACAAATGCTTAGAGTATGTGTACAGCCAACAGTGGTGGACAGTAGCGGAGTAGCTTTACTTCGTTACTGTACTTAAGTATATTTTTCAAGTATCTGTACTTTACTGGAGTCGTTTTATTGAGTAACTTTTACTTTTACTTCACTACATTCCAAAGCATAAGATCGTACTTTTTGCTTCACCACATTTCATAAAACATATTGTTACTCCTTATAATATATCACGTGCTCCGAGACGCAGAAGCGGTGTCTGATTCAAGAACGAACTGATTCTTTTCAATGAACCAAAAAAGGATGTGATGTTCAGAACATGGTAACTAGAGTAATTATCAAAGTGGGAAGTGATGCCCTCGGGGGGCATGTGGCCAGGGGTGTTTTTACACCACAGACAAGGTTTGAGAAGAAAAAAAAAATCATTATGAAAATATTATTATATTTTCCTTAATGTTCTTCCTAACTTCAGGCCTTATTCTCATGTCATATACAGTGGTGTGAAAAAGTGTTGGCCCCCTTCCTGATTTCTTATTTTTTTGCATGTTTGTCACACTTTAATGTTTCAGATCATCAAACAAATTTAAATATTAGTCAAAGATAACACTAGTGAACACAACATGCAGTTTTTAAATGAAGGTTTTTATTATTAAGGGAAAACAAAACCCAAAACTACATGGCCCTGTGTGAAAAAAGTGTTTGCCCCCTAAACCTAATAAATGGTTGGGCCACCCTTAGCAGCAACAACTGCAATCAAGCGTTTGCGATAACTTGCAATGAGTCTGTTACAGCGCTGTGGAGGAATTTTGGTCCACTCATCTATGCAGAATTGTTGTAATTCAGCCACATTGGAGAGTTTTCGAGCATGAACCGCCTTTTTAAGGTCATGCCACAGCATCTCAATAGGATTCAGGTCAGGACTTTGACTAGGCCACTCCAAAGTCTTCATTTTGTTTTTCTTCGTCAACGTAGTCCATATCAACAACAAAAATATATCTGGACTCCATTATAGTGGTTATTTTGGGAAAATCCCAGGTATTTTGAGCAGTAGGATTATAAAAATATGTGCTAATATAAATTTAAATTAAGCAGCCTATATAAAATTGCTAAATAAATCTATCAGTACTTTTTTACTTGAGTACATTAAAAAAAATCGAATACTTTTGTACTTTCACTCGAGTAAAATTGAAAAAGGAGTACTTTTACTGGAGTTATCTGTACTTTTACTCAAGTACTTGATTTGTGTACTTCGGCCACCACTGACAGCCAAACACACAACCTTTATTAAATTAGCATCATGTGCACTGTGCACATACCCTAGTCTAGTGTATGCGTAAAAAGTATAGTATATATTTGGTCGCCATTGCTTAATGAAATTTTGCAACCGAAATCCAGTCATTTCAATGGGAATCATAAAAATAAACATTTTCACCTGAACAATTTCCAGTGGCAAAAATAATCCCTGTTCAAGTTCTGTGGACTTTGACACACAAATTTGCAACACCAGCCAATAACAACCCTCTTGGTTCGCCAGTGACCTCTGTGATCTTCAGTATGCTTTGTTACTAAGTTACAAATCTCCAAAGACAATTTTCAACAAACTGTTCAGATTGTCCACAAGTCTCAAATGGCCCATAGTGCTAATCTAAATTGGTTTGGTATTAATAAAGAGAGAGACAACAGAGTGATACGAGATGAAAGCAACTTGTTACAGTATTTTTCTATAGACAACGATCAAATATACGTTGTAAAATGTTGTAAATGACCAGTCAGAATCCAGAGCCAGTATTCCAGAGTGCCTTGTAAAAACCTTTTAAAAACTGACAACCATTTTTGTTTTCCATTTTAGATCGAGGAAATGAGTGAAAACCATGAGAGGGCCATGATGGAGATGGAAGCGACCCATGGTGCCACGTTGGCCACTTTACAGGAAGAACACACCAGAACCATCAAGAGTGAGTCCTGCTGACAGACACATCCATCACACTCCCAGAAATTGAAGCAACTGTGTCTAAAGACCTAGTGAGCTGCCTACTTAGACATCATTATTAGGGTATCATAGCCTAAAAGCTATATAATACCATATAGGTTTGGCCCACTATGAGAGCTCTATTGATTTCTGGTGGAAGTCCCTGCTAACAACATAATTACAGACAGCTGAAACAAAACGGTCTGTTAAATGTACTTTTTTTTTTTTTTTTTAGTGCTGTCAAACAATTAATCGCGATTAATCACATCAGTAATATGTGTGTGTGTGTACTGTATATATTTATTATGTACATATACACACACATGCATGTATATATTTAAGAAAAATGTGTTGGTTATATTTAAAATCTTAATATTTATATATAATATAAATTATATGTGTGTGTGTATAGGTGTAAATATTTTTAAAAATATATACAGTGGGTACGGAAAGTATTCAGACCCCCTTAAATTTTTCACTCTTTGTTATATTGCAGCCATTTGCTAAAATCATTTAAGTTATGTTTGTGTATTTATATATACATAATAAATATACACAGTATGCACACATATATTTTGTAAACAAAAACTTTTATTTTGGATGATTAATCGTTTGACGGCACTAATTTTCATCAGTGTTACTAACATGAATTGGTTGTTTGTTTTTAGACCTGAAGATGGCACATGAGCAGCAAAAGAAGTCAATGGAAGAGGAATTTGAGAAGCTCAGACTCTCACTACAGGTACTGCATGTCCTCACTTTTAATGCCATCATGCATTGTACATTGTTTTTACCCTTTTATTTATAATGGCATGTGTAAGGGTGTGAGTTTCTGTGCTGTGTTTAGGATCAGGTGGACACCTTGACATTTCAGAACCGTGCTCTGCGAGACCGGGCCAAGCGCTTTGAAGAAGCACTGCGCAGAAGCACAGATGAGCAAATGGTGGTACTGTTCTTCATATTCTTTTGTGTGTGTGTGTGGCCAGTGGTATTAAAAGAAAAATCATCCCCAGAAAATTCTGTCATAATTTTATCCTCTGTGTTCCACAAAAGAAAGATGAGGGTGAGTGAATATAACCAGCTCTTTAAACTCTGGACATCCTGGGATGCTTTTTACAGTACCGAAACATGCTGGACACAAGTTTACTGCTTTGTAGTTAATTTATATTTCATAATGTAATTATAATCAAATATAAATTCAGTTAATTATATGGATAGTTCTGGGATGTAGATACAGTATGTAGTAGTTTGCATCTGTTTTCTGTTTGCATGTGCACAGGATGCTCTTGCTCCGTATCAGCATATCGAAGAGGACCTGAAGAGTCTTAAAGAGGTTCTGGAGATGAAGAATCAACAGATTCATCAACAGGAGCTCAAAATTTCAGAGCTGGAAAAAATGGTAAATTATATTAACAAACATTGCAAAATAACGTTAAAGATAGCTTTAAATATTAAAGACACAATGAAACTGGAGTTTTGTGGCTTTCATTCCCTGTACTCATAAACAAAGTTCGCTTTGTCAGATATGCACATTTATACTACAAGGCTGTTGAAGCGCTTGAATCTGTTTGGTTGAGAAACATTATTTTCAGGGAAACGCACAGCTAAAGTAGTTCCATGTCCATATCACTTCACCAAATGATTTCAGTTACTTCAAAAAGTCTTTACAGCCTACAGCAGCAAAAGAACCAAAACCTGCAACGACATGGACCAAGCAAATAACAAGATAAAAATGACAAATTATTTCCATGTTTTTGTCACAAAATTGTATTATTTCTCCTGTTCTCTCTCTCCCACTCAAACGCGCACACATACAGCACGACATTCACACACATGGAAACATGCATGCACACAGAAATGTGTTGTCAGTAGGGATGTAACCGTTCACTCAACTCACGATTCGATTCACGATTTTGATTTCACGATTCGATTCACGATTATTTATTTATTTTAACAAAATGAGATTTAAGACGCATTATAAATTAAATGTGTCCTTTTATTATTGCTTGGACAAAATGCTGCACATTTCTTTGTGAAATTGAAATCTAACACTATAATAATATACTAATGTAGCACTTGCATATTACTGCTCTTTTGTTGGTTTTGATTGCTTCTATTGTCCTCATTTGTAAGTCGCTTTGGACAAAAGCGTCTGCTAAATGACAAACAAAGAAGCGCTGCACATATGAACTAGATGCAAGATGAAAAGAAAAAATACCATCTAAACTTTTCTAAAGACAGTAAGTTCCCCTCAGACATGCATTCATATAAACTCCTACACCTAAATGAATCGATTTGTTTAGCATCTCAACCGATTTGAATCGTCACATATTTGAATCGATTTTCAACCGGCTCGCAGTTAATCGTTACATCCCTAGTTGCCAGTGCTGCTCTGACGATTTTATCAGAAAAATAGATTAGCAACTTAAAAGCTGCTTGTCATTTCTCACAAGCGAGGTACTAATGTCGTTTTTGAATCAGATGAACTTACAGTTTCGCTATTAGTAGAGACACTGCTGCCAAACACGGTTGAGAGATGCACAGACTTCGTAATTCACACACTCTTAATCTCTCTCTTCCCTCCTCTTCATCTCTCTCTCGCTCTCTCTCATAACTGCATTAATAACTGCATTACTATCAATGGCTCAAGCCTCCGTTACTAGGTCTAAAATGTCGTTTTGGAATTAGCAACGGAAGTGTGGAATGAGATGCGCAAGAAATTTATCCTATGCAAGAAATTGTAACCACCAATGCATCACCACCTCGGGTGTGCAATATTTTCTAAAAATTCAACAGCACGTCATCAATTATTCCTTACTTAAAATGTGTGTGTGGGCCAAATTTTTGATGACTAAAGTTGACCGTACACAGATTTTTGACCAGTCAACTGCTCTGTAGAATGAGAATATCCCTCACCCTGCCAAACATTTGTTACATTGCAGAGTATGGTTCATGGCGTAACTAAAAAAAATGTATTTAAATAAAAAAAAGACCACTGCTTCCATCTGTCTCACTCAAACTTGCTGTTTCAAAAGGGAATTTGTCTACACTGTACAGATTTCATGAGTTCTTTAAAGGTGTACTCAAAAGGCAGAAACCCCAAGCCTATCTATTACGTAATTGCCATGGACAAATAGTAGTTCGAAGGTTTTTACCGGAAGCTGTTTTGAACTTCATTTTGGCCTGATTTTGTTTGACATTACATCAAACCAGTTCGTTCTTTGATTGCACTTGAAGTATATCTAGGACTTTATACTTATATAAAAACTTATACTGGCACCTGTGTGTGGATGTTATCAAACAAAACCGAAGGTTTTCAGTTACTTGTGCCATTAGAAATTAAAAATGTCCTATATGCAGTTGTATTTGTCAACCATAAAAGGTATACAGTAACAACAGAGAGTTACCAAGACACATTTTTTGGTCACAAATCAACTTGCCTGCAGAATAAAACACATTTTAGGCCTCTAATATGACTGGATTCTCAATGTTATTTTAATGTACATGATGATGAATAAAGCTAAAGTGCTCCTTTGAAATTCGAAATGTTGAGTTTTTCAGTGATTTAGTGTGTTTGTCATGTTTTTACACAGGCCCAAAAGAATGTTATGCTGGAGGAGCGTATTCAGGTGTTACAGCAGCAAAATGAAAACCTGAAGGACAGGATTGACCGCAACCTTGCCATGTCCAGGTCTTTATAAAACATTTCTAGTTTTATACCATTAAAGGCACATTAGTTTGGGAGGATTTCGATACTACGCTCTTAAAAATGAGTTCTTTATTGGCGCTGATGGTTCCATGAAGAACCTTTAACATTCATAGAACCTTTCCATTGCACAAAAGGTTCTTTATAGTGAAAAAAAAGTTTTAGATTATTAAAATGTTCTTCACACTAAATGTTCTTTGAAGAACTGTTTACTGAAAGGTTCTTTGGCATCGCTGTGAAAACCACCTTATAAACCTTTAGACCCTTTTAAAGCTACAGAAGAATGCTCAGTAGTTGTTTCCTCTATTCTACTAGGCAACTGTCAGAGGAAAATGCCAACCTGCAGGTGAACGTTGAGAAAGAGAGCAACGAGAAGAAACGACTGAGTCGCACCAATGAAGAGCTGCTGTGGCGTCTTCAATCGGGCGAGTTGAGTCCTCGAATGTCTCCCACCCAGTCGCCCCTTCATCGACCAGCCTCTAGTCCAGTTTCACCCTCCCGACAACAGCCCTTCCCTAGATGAGTGTCCAGTTCTCCGTCTCAAACACTATTATTTTTTTCCCTTTCTTTATCTTTAACTCATGTTTCTCATTGTGGATTCTGATTGGATGGAACAGAGGATGCTCTCACACCTCTGACATCATAGATGGTGGCCATAGCGCTTTCGGTTTCATCATGCCAATGTTACTGTATTAGTTAGTTGATACAGTGGTCAGGGTTTGAGTTGTAGCGTGACTGAACAAAATAGTCGAAGGCATGTACGTAATTATGTAAATAGTTCACCCAAAAATGTAACATTCTATCATAATTTACTTATTCTGAACCTGCATGACTGACTTTCTTATGTGGAGCATAAATGGAGAAATGTAAAAAAATTGTCATTGTTCTTTTTCGTGCAATTACAATGAATAGGGACTGAAGCTTTTAAGTTTTAAAAGGATGCATGAAAGTCAAATTTAAGTAAATTGTTATACTCCGCCTACAGTGTGACTGGATAGTTGAATCAGTGAGTTGATCTCTAACTAAATCAGTCTGATTCATGAAGAATCAATCGGGTTCAAGAATCAATCAACATTCTAAGCCAATTATGGTTGAAAGTTCCATCTTTATCAGCATAGTTCAACGATTCAGCATTTGCATTTGAAACTGCAGTTCTAACAAATGTTCGCAAACGGCATCATAAAGTTGTTTGGTTGGAACTACAGCCTTCAACCTGTGATTAGGATTGTGATTAGTAAATTTTTTTTTTTTTGTATGACGTGAACGTAAATGGATCATGCTCTTGACAAAAAAACAAAGCAAGCTAACATGCAGTACAGTCTGTCTTTTATTCTATATATCTATATAGATGTGTACACACACAGTAGTCCTCAGATGGCATGTTCGTTATATAAAGCAGTAATCTTAAATTATTTTGATCTTGAACTGATTAATTAGCAGAAGTTATTATTGTACCACCTGCGTGATGTCACTAACGACTTTAGACGTTATTGTTGAACTAACACGGTTTGAGCAACAGATGTGCAAAAAAGGCAATAGTTGTGACTAGCTCATGAATTAGTTAATGAATTGGACATTACTGCTTTTCTCGTGAAAAATCCAAGTACCTAGGAGAGATGTCAAAATTTTAAGTAAATAACAACAAATAAGATTTTGGTCCGTTATTCTATATATACATATCTATATAGATGTGTACACACACACACACACAGTAGTCCTCAGATGGCATGTTCATTATATAAAGCAGTAATCTTAAATTATTTTGATCTTGAACTGATTAATTAGCAGAAGTTATTATTGTACCACCTGCGTGATGTCACTAACGACTTTAGACGTTATTGTTGAACTAACACGGTTTGAGCAACAGATGTGCAAAAAAGGCAATAGTTGTGACTAGCTCATGAATTAGTTAATGAATTGGACATTACTGCTTTTCTCGTGAAAAATCCAAGTACCTAGGAGAGATGTCAAAATTTTAAGTAAATAACAACAAATAAGATTTTGGTCCGTTCTTATAGTCGTTTGACTTTAGTAGACTTGCAATGTAGCACATGAGTTTCATAGATCACTTTTATTACACTTTTATGGTGGTTTGAAAGCTTGAAAGCATCAGTCTTCATTAGATGTAATTACATGGAAAAGACAGACCAGCACATACTTCAAAATGTCTTCATCTGTGTTCCACAGAGGAAAGTCAGTCAAATGAGTTTGGAGCTTCAGTGAGAAAATGACAGAATTTTGGTGTTCAAAATTTTTAAATTTACATGATTCTGCACTAAAGAGAACAGAAAAAGGAACATTATTCTCCCTTATTTACTTTAAGACTGTATCATGGCCGTTACAATATTGTGCATGATTTCACATGCCATTTTGGAAATATACCTTGTTTGTACCTTCTGCTCTAATGGATTTGGCTCTTGGGCTTGCGCTGAGGTTTTCCGTTCGAACAGGACATCACTGCGCTTGTTCTCCAACCTTTGCCTATGGTCTCAAGCTTTTCCAAAGATTGATCAGGACAACATATATACCAGTTTTACTAGGAATTTGCCTTTTTAAAAGGAAAATCTCCCACCAGCAACCCTCTGTGCAAGCTCAATACACCGAACAGGAAAACACAGGAAGATCTTTATAGGCAAGTTTAGGATGGACAGCAGCCATTCAAATGAGGTAAATACTTTGTCAACTAATTATGTAGTCTAGGGGCTTAAATGTTGACACACATGTGAGTTTAAGGTGTACTTACACTTTTTAAGGTGGTTCCTTCACATTTTGTGACTACTATACGAGGATGCTAATATTAGCATGGACTGACAGTGCAGTAGTGTAAACAACTTTCAAAACTTCAACCTGCTGTCTTTACCTTCATTTTTTTTTTTTTTTTGTGTGAGGGTAAACCATCCTCATGCCTTCATCTCAACTGTCCATGTTTACAGAAAACTCCGGAATGCATTAAGCTGTAAGAACTCCCTGTGAACTTGATGCCACAGTTATCAGTCATGGCTGTTTATGTCCCTCTTCTCTGTACAGTATGTATCATAAGTCTTCCGGTTGCTCTGACTCAGATATTATGCTTAAACTGCATTCATGTGGACACTATGAGGGCTTTTGTCCTATGTCCTGCATCATATTTAACCAAAAGGTTTTTGTGAAAGTACTACAGAACATTACATTAGCATGTTATGTTAGCAACATGCAGGTTTTCATGAGTACCTCAGTTCTTGAAATGAAAATGCAGGCTTCTACAGAGACTTATCGTTTATTGTAATACATTCAGGGTCTACTGCGTCAAAGCCATGGTCTCAATACGGGAAGTTTAGTCGTGAATAATAACCATAAAGTATTTTAACTACACCTGCGTTTTTCTTCCCTGAATGGCCTACAACAACTGTCCTGTAATTAAGTGGATCATTTGTATGTGTATATGCACTTGTATTCTTGCTGATGCTGTGGTAAAAGTCTGGATTCAGTCTTTGGGAACTTTAGAAATGAGTTAGGAAGTCATCTTGTTCTTGAATGTTTTATTTAATGTGCCGAGGGGACAATATACGCGTTTTATTTTATGTCTAAGTGTACTTAGTAGTGCAGCTATTAGTGATTGAATTTTTTATGATTAGCATAAATGACCATGATTGATTTTTGTTTATTATTTTTTTTTATAGGAACATAAAATCATTAGTTCACATTCTTCAGCCTTAACATTTGTGCAAACACAGAAAGTGCAAATGGCTGCTGCCGTTTACAAACACTTGAACTAAGATGATTGCTTATTTTATATCATTGCACTGGTGAATTTTGATGATTTTATTCCTGCTCATTCTCCCGTCAGAGATCTAGCTCAGGTTAGGAAGGTACATCACAAATGTCATTCACAGTTTGAATCGATACATTCTAAGACATCTTCATGTTGTATCTACAGTACAGAATGTAAACTATACATTTGAAGGTTGGCATCAATGTAATATCACGCTTGTGTTTAAATGTATTTCACTCATATAGCATTTAAACCGAAAGCTTTGAATGAAATTTAAAAATCAGTCAACTACCTGTCTGCTAAGAAAAATTCTACTGTTACAGTTCCTTGGGTGGCTGCTTGGATTATCTCTGCTTTTGAAATGTAAATGAAATGAAATCTTCAATCAATCAGGTTGTGAAACGCACTGATTTTTATTTATTTTTTTCCTGTGTGTCCCATGGACATGATTAAGAATGGAAGAAGCATTCAGAAACTCCATAAAGGAATCGTTCAACCAAAAATATTTTGTCATTATTTACTCACTCTCATATGGTTCAAATCTCTTATGTTGTTGTTTTTGTCCTTGTAGTATACTTCAATTTTTAACCCTTGTGCCATGAGCTCATTTTATGGGCACATAAAAATGTGGATCACCAAATCACAAAATATTGGATTTAATCTTCCTGTCAGCTTGAGTGCCGAAAAGGATGAAAAAGCATCATAAAAGTAGTCCGTACCACTTGTGCACTGTTCCAAGTCTTTTAAATCCATGATGAACTAGAGTTGTATGGAGTAGAACGGAGTATGTTTGAGAATGAAAAGAGGATGAATAAATAATGACCAAAGGTAAATTTTTTTTTTTTTTTTTTGATCAGGAATACAACTGTAATACAAACATAAATGTCTGTCATTGGATATTTAAGGGAGGACTGTAACATGGATTGTGTTAATGAAATGTCCTAATGATTGTTTTTTTTTTTTCTCTCCTAATTTGTGTTGTACAGCTTGTATGAGCTTTATGTGTGATCTGTTACAACACTTTAATGGAAAAGCATGTCTTAAAGCTGTGGTATAATTTGTTTAGTTCAAACCTCGTTAGTGTAGCTAATCACTGTTGTGATGCATTCAAAAACTCTTTTGATGATTATGTTGCACTTTATTGCACTTTGGGTTTAAATATTAAAAGACAATATAAAAGCACTGTTTCTTAAAGCTGACTTTCAACTCATTTAAAAAGTACAACTTTTGAGGGAAGACAGTTTTCAAGAGTCTAGAAAAATAATATTAACTAATATATTATTATTATTATTATTATTATTGCTAATATATAATTATAATAGTATGAACTTTATATATATATATATATCTCATTACTAATAAAATACCTCAGAAGCCTTTTCACTTTCCAGTTATTAAATAAATAGTTCACTCAAATGAAAATTTGCTCTCTGCATACCCCAGCGACAGCCCTGCGTGAGGCCATCCAAGATGTCGATGAGTTTGTTTCTTCATCAGAACCGATTTGGACAAATCTATCGATTACATGAAGTAATTTTAAGTTAAAACACCTTGGATGTTAGTTGATGGACTGGAGTCGTGTGGATTACTTGTGAATTATTGTGATGCTGGTCACACTTTATTAACTAAAGTGTTACTGTGATGTTGTTATCAGCTGTTTTGACTCATTCTGATGGCACCCATTCACAACAGAGGATGCTAACTCATCTCGGATGGCCTGAGGATGAGTGAATTTTCAGCATATTTTCATTTTTGGGTGAACTATTCCTTCCAAGGCTGCATTATGTCTCACTGAATTCTATTTCACAGAGAGAGAAAAAAACATCACATTACAGCTTTTTAAAAAGACTAGAAGCATGGAAATCATTCATTCTTTTTGGATGTGAAATGCTGAATGATATCAATAGGCAAGGGGAAGATAATGGTGGAGTTTCTTTCTGCTGCTATGGCGTTTAGTGTCTGGAGGTATCGCAGCTGCAGAGCTGATGGTGACTCAGAGATCACCAGAGACGCTTCCTTCAGTGCCCGCGAGGCGTTCATCTCCCCCTCAGCTGCAATTACCTACACAGCGATATGACACAAGCGACTCAAGTGTGTTATTATATGTTGTGCCTGATATGTATTTTCCTCTGCATAATGTATTCCTCTGTATTTGACTCCGCTATAATATTAAACTGTAGGGCCGTAATCACTGATTTTCTCCAAATGATCCTAGAGGGCCTGTAGAGCATTGCTTTTGGGAGAAATCTCAATTCAGATGAAACGGATTACTTAAGGGAGAAGTGTGACATTTTTAATATAAAAATCCCATATATAAAATATCCCAGTTTATAAGGGGTATTGCCTGAAAACAAAATTTACATTTTATATAATAATAATAATAATAACAATAATACAATTATTAAAGGGGTCATATGATGCGATTTAAATTTTTCCTTTCTCTTTGGAGTGTTACAAGCTCTTGGTGCATAAAAAAGATCTGTAAAGTTGCAAAG